GAGTCCGCGCGCGCCTCGGGACTCGGGGACGGAGACGGCGGCTGCGTCGGCGGCCGCGGTGCCGGGGCTCTCCGGCGCAGCAGGCGGAGGCCCGCCCCCGGCCCCGCTCCCGGAGCCCTAGCCGCCCCGCCCACCCCGGGCGGAGAGGGGCGGGGCGCCCCCGTCGGGCCCCGCCCCCGAGAGGGAGGCGGGCAGAGGCGCGGCAGGCCTCCCCCACTTCGAGGTCCCCCTACACGGTGCGCCGGCCCGCCGGGCGCCCTGCCAGAGGCGCGTTGGAGCCGTGGTCCCGCCCTCCCGCCAGTGTGATTGGGCCGCTCCGGGGGTGTGCGGGAGGGGCGGGGCGCGCTCGGGGAGGCTTCCAAGATGGTATCGTCCAACCGCGGGGCCTAGCAACCTCCTCCCCCCGCCCCCGGTTCAAGTTTCTTCGCCCGGAGGACGCGGCCTGGGCCAATCCCAGGTCTACAAGGGGTTTTAAAATGCAGGTAGGGATAGTGGGGTGGGGGTGGCGGGGACCGGTGGGAAAGGTAGGGCAGGGCTTCTCTTAAAGGCGACGTGCGAAATGCGCGTCCCCTTATCGGGCCAGCAGCGTCCTAACCCTCCCTTTCTCATCTTTAATAAACAAATGCCCACTGGGTTGGCGCAGCTCCCTTCCTCCCTCCCAGGGGCACGAGAGTTCGGTACAGTCCGAGAGAGGAGGAACAATAGGACCCTGACGTGGGGGGTCGTGCAGGGCTGCTCTTTGTCCCTTTTCCGGGCCACCGACCTTCTCCACCTGGGTCCCTACCTAATCTGGCAGCGGGGCTGTCTTTCCACCCTTAGCTCAGGACTGTAGAGCCTTGCAGCCTCCGCTCGGGGCCACATCTCTCCCCACCTGATGGGGCGATGGGGCTAGGGGGCCGGGGACCTGCCCATTTCCCGGAGCGGTTCTCAGCGCTCTTCCCCTTCGCGCACTCAACCGCTAGATATCTGCAATTGGAGGAGGTTCGCTAGGCGGAAACCCCTGGGAAAGGCGAGGGAAGGTCCTCCACCCAGGCCATAAATCTGGGGTCCAGAGACGCGCAGCGGCCGCAGAACCTTCCGCAGCCCCGCATCGCTGCGGGCCAAACGGATCGCCCTACAGCCTGTAAATGCTGTCCCCAAAGCGCATTTGCCGCGCTCCTCCTGCAGCCGGCGGCTGACGGAAGTATGTGTTTTCGCTGGACCTGCAAGGAGATAACCCACCCCCCCCCCCCCCCCCCGCGCGCGCGCGCACACACACACACACACACACACGCACGCACGCACGCACACAAACACCCCGGGGTAAGCTGCCCACGGCCTGGAGCGCGTGCCCGCGCGGCAGCTGACGTCCCCTCTTACAGTTACTCAGCCGTTTACTGAACCACTGCGTCTACCCTCTCACAGCTTCCCCAGACCGAGGGGATTCTACCCGGACAAGTGGCCACTGCCCACTGAGAGTACTTGGCATTCTTGGGAGGAGGGAGACTATAACGAGTGATGGTACGGTGAGGCTGGCTGCAGCGCTGACGTCAATTGCCTTAGATGTGTGTTCTGCTAGGATCTGAGTCTGAGCAGCGAGGACAAAGGTAGGTAAGCGAGGAGGCTGAGCAGGTGGAAGGAACAGCTAGTGGGGTGCCCTTAGGTTTGGCTTGTTAGAGGCCGGTTCGAAGGGGAGGAGGGGCCTGGGGATGCCTCAGCAGGTAAAGGAGCCTAACGCCCAGCATGCCAGCCCGAACTGATTCCCAGGACCCACGTGATGGAAGGAGAGACCCTACTCCCTCAAGTTGTCTTCTCACCGCCATATGTGGCCCACGGGGTGCATAAACCCCTCACACAAATACGTAAATTAATACTTGAGAGAGAGAGAGAGAGAGAGAGAGAGAGAGAAAGGATGCAGGTCATTAATCCTAGAGCTTTGAAGGCAAAAGCAGGGGGAATCTCTGGCCTACTGAGTGAGATTCTGCCTTAGGAAGAAAGGAAGGAAGGAGGGAGGGAGGGAGGGAGAGAGGAAGGAAGGAAGGAAGGAAGGAAGGAAGGAAGGAAGGAAGGAAGGAAGGAATTGGGAGGGCCAGACTGTGGTGGCACACACCTTTAGTCCCAGCACTTTGGAGGAGAGGATCTCTGAGTTAGGGGCCAGCCTGGTCTACAGAGTGAGTTACAGGACAGCCAAGGCCCTGTCAAAAACAAAATGAAGGAAAGAATGAAATTTGAGGTCTGAGGTCAAAAGGCAGGCACAGGTATGACCTGTCTTGGCTGTCTTGACTCACTTTAAGAGAATCTGGCCCAAAACCTGGGCCCAGGGGCCCTGCAGAGACCAGTATTCCAACCAAGGACCATGCATGAAGAGGACCTAGGCCCTCTGCTGAGAAGAAGCCCATAGGCTGCTCAGTTTCCAAGTGGGTACCCTAGTAAGGGGAGCAGGGATTTTTCTCAGGCATGAACTCAGTGACTAGCTCTTTGATCACCTCCCCCTGGGGGGGTGTGGCCTTGCCAGGCCACAGAGGAAGATGATGCCGCCAGCTCTGATGAGACCTGATAGGCTAGGGTCAGATAGAAGGGGAGGAGGATCTCCCCTATCAGTGGAGGGGCACAGGGGGAGAAGATGGAGGGAGGGTGGGACTGGGAGGAGATAAGGGAAGGGGCTACAGCTGGGATACAAAGTAAATAAACTGTAATGACTAAATAAAATTTAAGGAGACTCTGGCCTTTGTGTCATGGGTTGGGAACCACAGAGGTGGCTAGTTCAGTCCTCTCACCCCCTCCCTCCCGATAGAGGAGCTGGAGAAAAAGGTGGGGAGAAGATGCACCCGGGATGCGCAGGGGACCACACACAGTCAGCATGGGTGAGTCAGTCAGCTGAGCAGAGAGGGGCCTGGTTTTCTGCAGGTCCAGCCCAGCACACTTTAAAAAGGAAGGGACCTCCAGCTCCTGCCTGGGGAAGCTTGCAGATCCGGCTCTCAACCCCAGGAAGCAAGATGCAGCAAGCTTGGAGGACGCTCCCCACAGAGCACAGACTGTTGGGCAGTTGCTCCAGTAGGACCAGGGTGGGGGTAAGGGAGAGCGAGCAGAGCGCACACACTGTCGCCGAGACAGTTCAATTTACACTGGGCTTTGTGGAAGCCATTTGTCTCCTCGCGGCTTCCCTATGGCCTGCAATCTCTGCCTTCCGATCCTGCAGAGTGACAGCTTCAAGCTGAGAAAAATGAAACCTTTATCCAAGCAGTGGTCCAAACCATCTACTCACTGCAGGCTGGCTGCAGCCTTTTGGGAGAGCTCAGTGGAGGTGCAAGAGGTGGGAGGAGGCCCAGCTCTGGAGCTGAGTGGAAGAGACTGAGTCTGTTAGCACCATCCTTTCCCTGGGGCTCTGAGAGCCAACAATAACAGCAGCAGTAATGACAAGTTTACCATAGTGGCACTGATAGAGTACTCCCCCCAGCCCCCAGTGTAGGTACTCTAAAAACTAGCCAGTGGAAAGCAGGAGTAACTCACACAGTTAGCAAAGGGAAGGAGGTGTGAGAGACAGTGGCTGGAATCTCATGGGAGGGCACCTGGTTGCCCTCTCTACCCTCCTGTGAGGGACTGTCAACTGGCCCAAGTCGTGGGGGTCACAGCTGCTGTGACGCAGGTAGCAGTGGCTGTCTGGCTCAGAGGGCAGTGTCCCACAGCGTAGGGTTGGCCTCAGTGCTGAGCTCCAGGCTCCAGATGCAGGCTTTGAGTCCTGCTATGTATATCCCTGTGACAGCTGGCAGCTGCTCCTACCACCCAGCCCTGCAGCTCACAGATGCTCTGCGTGCCGGGCCTGGGGTGCCACCTCAAGCCCCGAATCTATAACTGGCAATCCAATGCTCACATGGGCAACGAGGAGACCCAAGGCACGGTATCTGAATATTTCATGCAGTGAGGGCAGAATGAAAGTGGCAAAGACCTTAATTGTTAATGTGGCTTCCACTGGCTACAGGCCCAGCCCTCCCAGCCCCTTGTGTTTGAAATGGCAAAGTGGATCATGATGACTCCTCAAGAACCCCAGGTCTTATGCCCCTGCCCCTGCTGAGATGAAGAAAAGTTGGCCCCTGACCCCCAGCTGGTCAGAGAAGCCCATAATGTCCAGGGTTTTGCTTATCAGTTAGTTCCCAGTTCTCACTCACTGAGCATAGGACCTGGGAACCACGTGATTTTTTTTTTTCTTTAACTTTTGAAAAAAAAAGAACAATGGCCTTAGAGTCTGTGTCTTTGGCCTCACACCACAGAGTGTCCCTAGGGAGTCATAGATACACCTTGTCCCCTGTGCTTCTAGACCTGTACCTAACCTTGGGATCATTTCATCCTCCTACAGGATGGGAGACTTTCAAAGCACACAAGAAGGCAGGCTCCAACTCTAGGCCATAGAATGAGACAGGTGGGTGCTGCTTGCCTGGGGAGTGAGTGAGGGTTGGGGAGGGACAGAGTGGCGAATATTCCAAAGCCTGGACTAGAAGCTGTGTTCATGAAAGTCTGAAAACCTACCCAGGGTGCTGGGCCCTCAGTCAGAAGCAGGGTCTCCCCAACAGAGTTGCAAAACCAGGACCTTGGCACAGGGAGGCATTCCACCTTGCA